AAGTAAGTACATGTTGCTTATTTTGAAATAAATACGTTACTTATTTTATCTGAAATCGGACGCCGAATCATTAATTCCGAAACCCCCTAAAATTGTTTTCACTACAGCTTACATGTATGAAATATTATCCATAATATTACAGGGGTTTCAGGATTAAAAAAGAATAGCGTATTTTGGACATAAATGAGAATTTAAAAAATCTTATTTGTGTATCAAAATTTTGAATTAGAAAATGAAATTTGAGTGTTTAAAGACTCTATTGACGAAATAAGTAAACTTTTTTCGGATTAAGCTTATTATACTTTCGATTTTGCTTACAATATATTGTATATAGCTACTAGAGATGATCAAAATACAAAATTTTCATGTTTTGGCCAAAATTATGATTTAACTTTTTAATGCTGGCCATAATTAATTGCATGTTTTGCATACCATGCATTGCCTATCTCTAATAGCTACAATATAATTTCAATATTACGAGAATTGTTATAACCCCTGAACTATATGTCATACATTTAAAACTTATATATATATAGTATATACTGTAATTTAAATAACTTTACATACTATTGAATAGCTGCAAAAATATTATATATAATAACTATTACAGATAGTTTTGTACAAGGTTTTGCTCAATTGCCTAACACCGGCAATACAAGATGTCACTTTGGCATGTCATAATATACTGCAATAAATCATTATAACTAATAAAAGCATGCTAGGCTTCTTAACGGACAATAATTATTATATCTTTTATGTCTAGAATATAGAACTTCGTATTAGAACATAATAAAAAAGAGTATGTATTTAAAAGAATTATAAATTTAAGTAAATTCTTCTCGAATGAAAAGTTTTTGTAATCATAATAAGGCTTTTGTTGAAAATTTTTTCAGTTTTTAATATATAGTTGAATACAACAATATGATCAAATTTTAAAAATATTCAGTAATTACATAAGAATATTTCATTTATATATACAATATATATATATATATAATTATATTGTGCAATTTAACAATAAATTATCGATTAACCTTGTTGTGTCAACATATAGAGCACCGGATAAAATAGCACCATTTTCACCAACTTCATCAAGTTCTTGTAAACTTTCAGGATCTACAAGTGAAAAATAATCTAATTTTATAAAAAACCCCAAATCCTGATCTTTAATATATTTGGATTTATTTTCAACAAGGTCGTATGCAGGTGCAAGAAGATTTTTTCGATCACGAATATTTTGTTCAAACGCATGCTTTACCGCGTTCAGGCTTTGATATAATGTTGTAGCAACTTTTCGCATTTCAGGTGTGAGATACCTATTTCTAGAACTCATAGCTAATCCATCTTCCTCTCTTACTGTGAGTCCTACATGCATTTCCAATGGAAAATGCAAATCTCGAATCAAATTCTTAATAACTACACACTGTTGAATATCTTTTTGGCCGAAGAAAACGTGGTCAGGTTGAACAATGTTAAATAATTTTGCAACTACTGTTGCAACACCACGGAAAAATGTAGGACGAGTTTGGCCTTCCATCTTTTTTTGATGATAAAAAAGTGTTTGAAGTATATCACTTTTGCTATGTGCAGGGGTGTAATTTCGAATTTTGGCCTAAATTAAGCTTAATTCGGGCCAAAATTCGAAATAACGCTCATGGGTGTTATTCCATGAAAATACGGTATAGTTTTCGGCGAAGCCTGGCCAATCCAAATCCTTAAAAAAATGATTGTCATCACAGAAAAAAAAAAAGGAAGAGTAAGGCCACGCAAAGTTAATTTTTCAATTTTTCAAAGAAAAATTTTTTTTTTTTTAAAGCCCATATTTTTGCTATTTATTTTCTTTTTCCATAAATTCACCCGATGGAAACCTTAATTCCTGGAATTATCTACTCTATTTTGAAACACCAGGTTATGCAACCCGAAAAATTAACTTAGTGTGGCCTAATAATAATAATTATGAATTTTTGCAAATATATTATTAAAATTTTTTGAGCTGTTAGTTTTGCAGACTTTTGGGTTTAATTTCATAACGACAAACTCAAAAGGCTTACAAAAATTAATAACTTAAAAATTTTACCAATAATCTTTAATAAATTATATATTCTTATATAATAGATTTGCAAACTTTCAGAATTATTTTTTCTAACTCTTTAGTTTTAGGATTTTGCCGAAAACTATATACATAATATCAGTTGAAGTATTAGTATCTTACCTGATGAGACTTTCCTTTTACTTCTACAAAAGTACCAAGTTGTTTTTCTACATCTAAAGGAATTCCTGTCGGATAGATATCTTCAACTTTTGGAAGAAAAACTACATCAACGCAATTTATAGCAGATAATTTAGAAAGGTCATCAGATAAAGTACGAGGGTACTTATCAAGATCTTCATTAGGTGCGAATTGAGCTGGATTTACAAAAATAGAGACTGCGACTGCCTGACAAAGTTTGCTTGCTTGTTTCACTTAATGAACAAAAAAATATATAATTGTTATAAGCGCACGTTACTCATTATCGCGATTGAAGCTGGAAATTAGGGACCTCGATTTAAAAATATAAACCCTACCAAAATCCACTTATACGCTTTTATTATAAAATCTAACCTAACTATTAAAAAAAGCTAAAAAACACGCCCCAAAAATTTTTGGAAATTTCATATTAAAACATTTAAAATTTCCAGCTTCAGTCGTGACACTTATTAACATAAAACGTTATTTAAATAATTCACTTAGACTCAGGTGTCCTTCATGTAAGCAGCCCATGGTTGGAACAAAGCCGATGTGCTTTTCTTCCCGAACCATTTGATGTCGCCAATTACGTAATGAATGTATATTCTCAAAAACTTGCATATTTAAACTTTAGTAGCTTAACTTTGATGTTCAAACTTTTTTAAAAAAATTTAACTGATAAATGTAATAGAGTTGATTAATTTGCTCTTTAGTTCCAAGATTTTAAAAACTTTGTAATTTATAAAATTGGCGCCCACGTTACTATATATAATTTGTGGCTAAAGTACCCCTTGATTAAGACTCGGGCATTATCGTTACATCTGAATAATACCGGGGTATAACTACAATTATCAACTTTAATTTAATTGCATATTAATAATTTAGGAAATATCTGATTTCATATGCGTATTTTTTTTTTACAAAGCATTATTCTATTTCGTCATCGCACAGTAATTTCAAAATAGATTTATAATCACCATCTACAGCTGTACAGTCTTTACCAATTTAGAATGTTTCATAATTTATTTTATTTTTTTTACTTTAAAAGGTTATAGATTGAAAAGCCATAGATTAATCATAATGATTGGTTAATAACGATAATACATTAAAACAGTATAAGATGTCAATTCTATACGTTGATCGATCTGAATTCGATAAAAAAAAATTTTTTTTTTATCATCTAATTGATTGACAAGTGTTTTTGAATGTAAGCTAGATTTATTTAAATAATTCAATAAAAGAAAATTATCGTAAAATATAATTAACATTAGCAAAGATAAAAATTTAACATATTATATGATGAAATCTCAAATAATGGAACAAGAAGGATTATGCGATGACGCTTTAGAACTCGAAAACCTTGTATCCCAAATGAAAGAATTGATGGTTGAACGTAAGAAAAATAAATTCTTTATAAAATCAAGTATTTTTTTATAATGGTTCTTTAATAAAATTTTAAAAATCGATAGATGTAAACTATAGTCGAAAACCGGATGCATTGGTTTTAGATTACAAATCTCCCGAAGAATTAAAAAAAATAATGGATTTGGAATTAGGTTACGAAGGTGTTGGGGTTGTAGGTACTCGACTCGTTCACTTAATTTCTTATCTTTTAATATAAATCAATTTATTTTAAAAAATCATTTTTTGATGGTTTATAAAACAGGTTTAATGCCAATAATACAAAACATATTGAAATATAGTGTCAATACATGGCATCCGGGGTTTCTGGGAAAATTATATGCTAGTACAAATCCTATTGGTATCATATCTGAAATGTTGATATCATTATTGAATGGGAATGCACACGTTTATCATGTTTCACCCGCAATGACAATGATTGAAAATACCGTTTCACACAATTTGGCAACATTATTAGGAATGGGAGAAGTAATTTTATTTTATTTATTTAAGACTTTTAAAATATATTGTTTAATATTCCTCTAAAAATATTTGGTAAATTTAGGAATCTGGAGGAATCACGTGCCCAGGTGGTTCATTTTCTAATCAACTTGCCATGATAACAGCGCGGACTTGTATGTTTCCCGAGATTAAAACTAAAGGTTATCATGCTTTTGGAAAAAAATTGGTGGTTTTTACTTCGGTCGCTGGGCATTATTCTGTTGAAAAAACAGCTATGACGTTAGGTTTGGGTATCGATAGTGTGATTAAAGTACCATGTGATGATCAAGGAAGGATGAGGACTGATGAATTAGGTAATAATTTTTTGTCTAAATTTTGTGAATTATTAATAGGCTAATTAAACTTTGATTTATTCATAGAGCGATTGATCAAAAAATCTATTCAACAAGGAGAAATCCCATTTTTTATTAATGCTACAGCCGGTACCACTGTTTTGGTGTGTATTCATTATTCATTTATTCTATTAATGCTAATTAGTTTTCATATTTATTTATGTATTGAACTAACTAATGAATTATATGAAATTTAATTTAGGGGTCATTTGATCCATTAAATGAGATAGGAAAAATAGCTAAACGATACAATCTCTGGTTTCATATTGATGGATCTTGGGGTGGAAGTCTAGTGTTTTCTGACAAGCATAGACATATGATAGATGGTGCTAGTCTAGTATGTTTTCTTTTTTACCAATATTTTTTTTTACCAAAAATTTGTTCATCTAAAAGTAATTTATTTTATCACTTTTAACAGGCTGATACATTTGTATTAAACCCTCATAAAATGTTAGGTACACCATTACAATGTTCATTTTTACTTGCAAGAGATAAAAAAATATTTCTACAATCAAATTCTTTAAAAGCTGAGTATTTATTTCGTCACGAAGACGATTTAGGTGATGGTACAGTTGGGTGTGGTCGTCGTCCAGATGCAATAAAATTATTTATAGGTTGGAAAATATATGGTATACAAGGATATCAAATGCGAATTGAACACGCATTTAAAATGACTAAATATTTAACTTTAATTGTTAAGAATAATCAACGATTTAAATTAGTATTGGATGAACCACCAAGTTTACAAGTTTGCTTTTGGTATTTGCCTATTGGAATCGATTTTAACTTAGAAAATAAAAAATTTAAAAAAATGATGTCGATGATCACCAAAGAAATGTATAGAAGAATAATGCATCATGGAAAATTTTTGTTAGATTATTCACCTATAATTCTTGGTGAAAAAGAATTACCATGTTTTTTCAGGATTGCTTTGAATGCGCCTTCAATTTGTGAAAAGCATTTAGAAGGTTTAGTAAGCGAAATTGAAAAAATGGGAGAAGATATTTTAGAATGGTTCGAAGAATATGGAGACGAAAATAACGATGAGATGAGAAATGGTGTGAATGGAAATTGATGTATTGATAGTGCAAATGGACTTAGTAAGGAGGTAAACGGAATTCAACCAATGACACAATTTTTATAAATTCATAAAACTTTTGAGTTCGAAAAAAATAACTAAATAAATCTAATTAGAGATAATATTTAGAAAGTTCTATTTAAAAGACATAATAGATAGATATATTGGCATATTTTTATTACAATATTTTTTTTCGAGTTTCGTATTTAATGTAATTCATTGTAATTTTATTTAATTGTTGATCGATATAAAATTTAACGGATTATGATCATAGTAATCGTAATTATAAAGATTCGCATGAATAATTCTTTAAGAAAAATGATTTAACATGTTTATTGAAAATAATCGCATAGTAAAAAAAATCCTTCGGCAAATTACTATAACATCCTTTTTTTCCACAATATTTAGTAATTCCTAAATATTATACTTATTATACTTCTTAACGATATACCACCATCGCAATTCTGAATTTATTCATTAGCCTTGCGTTCTGCCTGACCTTTCAATTCAGTTGCCTTTCCTTCAACCCTCATTTTAGTATCGCCAAGGGTATCACCGGTGGACTTTTTAATTCCTCCGGCTGCCTCATCTTTGGCACCTATTTATTATTACATTACATACAATAAATTTGTAATAAAAAAAAAAATCAAAGATCATATAGAAGCTATATTAGAAATAACAGTACCTTCAGCTTTGCCTGCCGTTTTTGCGCCATCATATTCATCATTTCCTATTGGTTAGGGTTTTAAAGATCTATTCGTTAGTAAATAAACTTTTATATCTTGCAATATAGTATTATGTCAATATTAACCTTCAATCTTCTTTTCTCTTCCTTCGGCTTCCATCTTCTCGCTACCTACAACTTTACCGAGAGTTTCTTTAGCTGCGCCTCCGTAGTACTTAAGGGTAGCATCAGTCTTTGATGGTTCTGACATGTTTTCGAAATGAATTTACGTACAAATTTGTAATTACAAATTGAAATTAATTTCTTTTTATTTTTTTATTTATTTATTTCAAGTTTCAAAGAAAAGAATAAAGTCGAGTATCTTGATGAAAATGAAATTTTTTAAATTTTTAAATTTTACTCTATTTATATTCTTTACGATAATGTAAAGGATTCAGACACCGAATACCTCATATTACGTAAATATTAGGTAGCTACAATTTTTTTAATGCAAGAATATGATGATTTAAAAGTATCCTTGGTGATTTCATTATTGCATAGTTATGAAATGTCTTGAGAGACCGATTTTCGAAAATTTCACTTTGCTGATCTGATAAATTATATTCTTATACATATATATTTAAATCATGTGTCTGATGAGAAATGAGATTTCGGAAATTCCACAATTACTGAATTACAGGTTTTTGTTTTGCAGCACTCATATGTTCGACCACGAACATTTCTGATGATATTTTTATGATGACATAACGTCGTGAAATATCAAAAATTATTCCGCAGGAATGACATCAAAAGTAAAAATTTTAATTAGAAACGTTACGGGAATAGGACTATGAAATATCTATTACTTAATCAATATGATTTTTAAGCTTTAATCATGAAAAAAATTGAGTATAAAATCATTACTGTAAAATCTCGGCCATGTGAAATCGGCCCCTTTTTTTAATATGATATATTTAAATTCAGAATGGGCGTCTCAAAATAATGCATCAATGAATTTACTAAGCTCAGAAATTTGCCTCTTTATCTCGAAATAATCATATGTACTGTACATACTCAAATAACGCGCAGGTACTGTACCTTATGTATTATTATTATTATTATTATTATTTATTTTATTTAGAAAAATCTTAAAAACGATTTATAATCAAATTACAGAATTATTGATTAATAGTCTTGTATAGGAAATTATAAAATTATAATATACTGTATATATACAATAGTCGATTTTGTTAAATCATGTCAGTGTGTTTAGCACAGCAATTTAGGGTATCTCATGTCAGTTTTATTACAAACATTGCTACATACTGTAGTGAAGTTTTCAAATTCTGTAAACTGTGTAATTAACTAACGTTAAATTTTACATATGCTAATACAAAAAATTATAATGGTTAGGTTTTATACTTAGCTTATATGTAATATGAGTTATTCATATGAGAATAAGTTACAGACTTTAAAGACTTTAATTTTGTGACATTCATATTCCAAATAAGCTAAGTTTAAAATCCTAACCATTATAATTTTTTATATGTAAAATTTAACGTTACTTTTTGATTATTTTTCATAAGCATACAACAGAATTCGAAAATACAAAATATTTCACTTTTCTATAATAGTTTAATAGGAAATAGTGAAATCAGAAAACTCGGATTAGTGGCCTTCACTATGCAGTTTGCACTATGCTCGATATGAGATACACCAACCCCAGTTGCTATATCTTAAAAATCAGTTAAGTAATTAATGTTTGATATTTAAATATTTAGCACTTTAAAAAATCTATTGCCATCTGTCATTTGGAAATGACTCGTGATCAAACGACCGGGGTCATTTGAGGGTCATCTAGTCTATAGGTTTTGAAATTAAGCTTTGGTACTTGTATACTCGGTCCCAAGCTCAATAAAAATTTATATGCCCGACCAAACCCAGGAATGGTAAATAATCCGGTCGGTTGATCAAAATTTAAATCATCAAACCATGACAAGATCATTAAGTTCATTTAGGTCATTTGTATAAAAATAATTTTATTGGTCGAATTGCTCATATAAAAAGCCATCAAACTTTATTACATTCCTAATCGATAATCGTAGCTATATATGTATATTAAAGTTAAAGTCTTACTATGTCAATTAATATTTTTTTATAAATTGAAATCCTTTTTATTAACTTTCGCGCTTTGCAAAAAGATGTGACCTCTGCAGATCATAATGTCGTGTAAAAATCGGAGATTCTGTAGATTTTAAATATATAACTAATCGAAAATATGAATTAATAGACAATTTAGAATCTCAGAAATTTTCCTCATTACAAAAATCATGGGGTCACATATTTTTGCAGGCGCTATAATAAAAGTTCTTCAGTTTACATGAAAATTTCAGGATATATGCAATTTATTATTTCGGATTACTTTATTTAAGATGTAAATATTTAATTGACTTGGTAAAATTTTCGACTTTAATATATAGCTACAATTATCGATTATATTTTAATTTTGTTTGGCGGCAAATTCTGATCGGATAAATGGCAATAGAATATCAATTAACATATGGGGTCTTTGCCTTGAAAATGACCTTACGGTATCATGTACCGTAAGGTCATTTTCAAGGCAAAGACCCCATATGTTAAAATGACCAAAGTCATTTGGATTTGGGTCATTTCAGATCATTTACCATCACTGGTATATACCCCCACCCCCTTCCCCTTTATACCCCTCTTTACCCCTTCACCTCCTTTACTTCTCTCTAAGAAGGGGTAAAAGAGGTAAAGAGAGGTAAAGAGGGGTATAGGGGGTAAAATTAATTAAAATTTATTTTTAAATATACAGTATACTGTGTATGTAATCCTAAAAACAGTATTGCTAGTAAAATAAGTTAGTGTCACGAAGCAATGAAACGAAACTTATAGACTTCATGCGAGGTTAGCGTTAAAACATAATGCTACATCCAAGAGTATTAATTTAGAATTAAGATTAAATTAATTTGCGTCAATATTATATAGTTATTGGATGCGAAGCAGCCAATAACAAGAATTATTTGTAAAATAATTCATAGGAGTTATTGGCTAGCGTAGCATACAATAATGGTTTTATCTGGTGGTTTACGACGATTGTGCTTCTAAATAACTCAAGTTTTGGTAGTGATTACATAAACTGCCAAATAACTCGAGTTATTTTGGCAGCACTATCATAGTAAGCTGCCGGATA